CGAGGTTTCAGGTCGGTGCAAGATCTGCCGAAGTGGATACGAAGTGCGAACAGTTACAGAATGCTCTTGGAAGTATGGTCGTAATTTCTGGGCTGCAATCACAAGGGCAAATGCCAGCTTCTCCATCGGAGGATAACGTATTTCGGCATCGTGCAAGGCCTTGCTGACGTAATAGATGGGTGATTGCAGCAACCCCTCTTCGCGTATCAATACAGCGCTAATAGCAGATTCACTAACTCTGAGGTACAAGAACAACATTTCCTCGGGTTTCGGCTTTTGCAAAGTCGGGGGAGAGATCAGCGTCTCCTTGATACTATCAAGAGCTTTTTGGCATTCTTCGGTCCATTCAAAACGTTTCCCTTTCTTGATTGCTTCAAAAAACGGTTTACAACGATCTGTAGGCTTGGAGATGAACCGGTTAAGCGCAGCAAGTCGGCCAGTTAGGGCCTGAACACCCTTGACCGAGGTTGGGGGAGTTAACTCTCGAATGGCCGTTATTTTGGCCGGATTGGCTTCAATCCCACGCTGGCTGACCATGTAGCCCAGGAACTTTCCAGATTCGACTCCAAACGTACATTTCTTAGGATTCAACACCATGGAGTAGGATCGGAGGATGGCGAACATGTCTTGAAAATGCGTAATATGATCGAAAGCGTGTACCGATTTGAGGAGCATGTCATCAACGTAAACTTCCATAGTGTGACCGATCAGTGTGGCGAACATTTTGTTAACAAGACGTTGATAGGTGGCTCCGGCGTTCTTTAATCCGAATGGCATCATGGTATAACAATACAGACCCCGGGCCGAATAAAATGAAGTGTGTTCGGAGTCCTCGGGATCCATAGGAATCTGGTTATAGCCGGAGTATGCGTCCATAAAACTCATCAACTCATGTCCCGACGTGGCGTCAACCATATAATCTATATGGGGAAGTGGATAACTGTCTTTTGGGCACGCCTTGTTGAGGTCGGAAAAATCAATACACAATCTCCACAACCCGTTGCTCTTCTTAACAAGAACAGGATTTGAGACCCACGTCGGGTATTTGGCTTCTTTGATGAATTTATTGTCGACGAGTTTCTTGACTTCTTCTTCCAATGCCTTCTGACGATCCGGCCCCAGTTTCCTTCTCTTTTGCACAACAGGCCGGACTGTTCGATCGAGGTTTAGTTTGTGGCTAGCGACACCGGGGTCGATGCCCTTCATATCCTCGTGCTTCCAGGCAAAAACATCAGAATTCTGCTTGAGAAACGCAATGAGTTCTGACCGAAGTGGTTCCTGAAGATGACTTCCGATGCGTAATGACTTATGGAAAACTGGTTCATCGATATAGACCAACTCCACGTCTTCTCCAGGTTCGGCTCGATCAGGTCGACTTTTTTCTTTAAACAATGCTCTGGGATCCAACTCGTCTTCTTCAAGGAGTGGCTCTTTTCCAGGGCGGCGACCTCGGTCTTCGGTTAAAGGATCCGAGGTGGAAGGCTCGCCGATGTGGTTGCTTGGTTGTTCGGTCATCGTATCTTCCGGAGAGTGATGCTGTGGGGAGGCTTCATTATTACTCGTTGAAGCTGAGTGGACTCCATTAGATGGGATGAACGTAACAAGTTGTCGAGCTTCTCTCTGATCTCCGAA